TGCATACATAGGAAGTAAATACATTGGTGCTGTAAGCACATATAGGAAGGAAGAAGGTTAGTATGTAAACAAACATGTTCACCACTCAGATGGCTGTTTTTGTTGATTTTGCGGGAAGAACAGCTAAAATCTACTCATTTGTTATGAATCCCCTACATGACAGTAAATCTCCTGATGAACACACCCCGCCCCCACCCCATGCTTCTTCATCTCTCTACTGCTACTACTTTGTAGAAAAAGTATATCTTATTGTGGCCCAATAATGGAAAGATATACACACCACAGTATACTAAACACATTTAATCCTTTGTGCATGGAGGGGTGCGTGAAACACATTTCTGCATTTTTCAGGACACAAACACAGTGTCCGGACTTGATGCATCCGAGTTAGAGAAAGCCACCCTTCACAACTCCCTTGGTGGATGTCACACTTCTGAATTGCTCTCCCTGCTCTGCTGCTGACCCAAACTGTGGCTTTTCTGAGAGGCAGTTCCAGAAATGCATGCTCTCAGCTAGGGTCATAAACAAACAAACAAGCTGACCCAATCCAGATGGGCGGAGATCAGCTGGTGCTCCATGTCCTGCCTGTGCTTTCTGCTAGCGACATCTAGAGCCTGCTCAGCAGAGCAAAATCATTCCAGACCTATAATCCAAAGCTTTTAAGCCAGATTTGTGTGTGTGTGTGTGTGTGTGTGTGTGTGTGTGTGTGTGTGCGCGTTTCTTGCCTACATTGCAACCCAGTTAGGTCCCCAGGATACTAAGTAAATAACAGAAATTTTAAGAAGTCTTAATTGCTGGATAATCTCCTCAAGAATTCTAGTTCTTTGAAGCAGATGTCAAAAGAATTTGTTCCTTTTCCTCAAGTCTGGCCCATTGGAGTAAGGGACATTAGGCTTGTGATATCTTTTTCTAGCCAGGGTAATCTGGAAATGACCAGAAAGAAAATGCATGGTGTGTTCCTATGGGTGTGCCTCCCACCAACTCCTGTCACCTCTGTGGCAGTCCCTAGGTCATCCTAAAACAAAGCAAACCCCACTATTAACAGTAGCATAGCCTCACTGTTTTTTGTAATTGAGACCCCCGCCCCTTGTGGGAGCATTGTCCCTCCATGCACACCTCTGCACCAAAACTTACTAAACACCGAAGTCTTGTTACTTATCTCATGGCCACAGCTACTGTCCCCTTGGGGGCAATGGGGTAATGGGGTGCCCTGAAAGGGTGAGGGAGACCAAGAGGCTTGTGCCAAGATCCGGGTGCTACAAGACTACATTGCAAAGGGTTCCCGGTGACTCCCCAAACACCACACACCCGCCCCTAAGGGCTGCACCAGCCAAGCCCAGACCAGCCTGTCTGAGGGCTCTCCTGGGGGTTGTCTCCTTTCCTTGGGACTAGAAGGGCTCAGGAAAAGCTTTCCCTCCCTGACCGTCCTAGTGGCACCGACCTGCTGAAAGGGAACAGTGTAAGACCTTCAACCCATCCTGGGAGTCACCAGTGCCCTGAAAGAGTCCTTGATTACTATACTAGGGTTCTATGCAAATTCAGTCTTGGAAGCCCAGACTTCCAGCCTTGAGAGCAAGAGACCACTCTGAGAACTTCTTATGGAAGGAGCACGGTCTAACCAGAGTTGCTGGAACAGAGGCTTGTAGCCCAAATTAGCATGCCTGGTGAAAGCTGTATTGGGCCTGGGTCAGAGGCCAGGGCTCTGAAGCTACGACTTTTTTTTTTTTTTTTTTTTTTCCTGGAAACACAGGTAGGATCTTTGGGTGTAGAGAGAGAAGATGTCTGGGGACAGTGAAAGGGGAAAAGGGGGCAAAAGGAGGAGAGGAGGGCCGCTTTGGATAGTTGCAGTGACAAGTACTAAGGAAGAGAAAAGGAACCTGGACTAGCTGTTCTCTGAGCCCCAAAGCAGGAAAATAAACATAAAACACAACTCCAAGCATACACAGATCTAATTCCCTCCTTGGGAATCACAGAAGGCTGCGGTTACAAACAGACATCCATGCATCTAGCGAATTCCAAGCATAGTCCACATCCCAGCAGGCGCAGCTCCAAACCCTTCCTGCTCTAGCCACCAACTCCTCGCCACCACCGCAGAGACCTGCTCCGGACCACGGTGACTGAGATGAGCCAAGGAGAGTGTCTGAGCACGCTCTGGCACAGCAGGGAGAAGGCAAGGAGAGACGCAGGGGACCCAGAGACCCCCCCCCAGGAGGCGCCAGGCCCAAGCCCCCCCCCGACCCCCCCCCCCCCGCCACCCACCCACCACGATGCTCTCTCTTACGTCCTCCTCGTCACAGTCGCTCCGCGCCTGGTACTGGAACCGGGGCCGGCCACCTGCACCGCCGCGCTCCCGGGGCACCACCGCCTGCGCCTGCGGCCCGAGGGGCTTCGGGCCCGCGTCCTCCTCCGGCCCCTGGCCACCCAGGAGGCGACTGGCCTCCGGGGGCGCCGGGAAGGAGCGCGAGGTGTTGATCTTGCCCGTGAACCTTTGGTACAGCGAAGCCATGGGCCGCCGCCGCGCGCTGGCTCACTGATTTGGATGCTTCGGAGAAAAAAAAAATTTTCCTTTCTCTCTGTCTCTCTTCCCTCTCCCCACCCCCTCCAGCAGAAAAGAGAGAAGGGGGGAAAAAGGAGGCGGTGGGGAAAGAAGAAAGGCGAGCCTGGCCGCTCCGCGCCACTCGCGAGTCGCCTGGGTGCTGAGCGACTCTGCCTGGCTCAGCTTCTCCGCCCCCTCCCCGGCGGCGCGGAAGCCAGGGGTCGGAGTGATCGCTTTCTCTTTCTGCTTGGCTTTTTTTTTTTTTTTTTTTTTTCTTCAAGTCCTCGCCAAGGCCACGTTCGGCCTCACCAAAGAGATGGAAGGAAGGCAAGATACCAGAGGCACACCAAGGGAGGGGACATATCTAGGCCCCATTATTTGGCACCACCTAGAGACCAGCTCATCTTCTGGTCCCCGCCCCGGCCCCTTGCAGCTCCTCCTTTCTCTCCTCAGCGGGGTACCCAGCTCCCGTAGTAGAGACGACACCTGGGGAGTTCCAGGCCCAGGGAGGTGGAGGTGGATGAGGGATGCGGGAGGGTTCTCGGGACGCCGGTTGGGGCATGGATTGGGGTTCAGGGCTGGGGCACTCCTAGCTCGGCGGGAGGCTGTGTCCCAGTGAGAGCGGACAGCTCTACAAAAGGCCAGAGCTGAGCAACGAAACCAAACCCTAACTGCGGTGGGATCCAGGGACTTGGGGGTCGTGGCTCCCCTTTGCATCCGCTTTGGGTGGTGGCGCACGGCTGCCCTCCCTTACCTCACAGGGACGCCCACCAATGTTGTTCTTCCGGCTTCGGTTAACTTTGACAAAGACCCTGGGGGTAGGCGTGCATTGCAGCTGCAGGGCGGAAGAGCTGCGGGGAGAAAGGCGGGCCTGTCAGGAGCAGGCCCGGGGAGGCGCCTGACCCACCACCCACCTTCTTTTCATCACCTAGGACTGAAGAAAAAAAAAAAAAAAAAAGATTCATTTTCTTCTGATCTTCTTCAGAAGGGAAGGGCAAGTCTAGAACAGGAGACAGGACTCCTGGGCAGGCCTAGTGCAAGCCTCAGGAGCAAGGCTTTCCAGGGTATGTCTGGCTCCAGCCTGCCTGTCTATGTGCAAATACAGGGAAACGCTAAAGCGCTTAGAGGTCAGCAACCTTTCTAAACCTTGTTCCACCCCATTCTGGTACTGAGTTGCCGGGGGAAGGGGGGCCACTTTGACCCCAAAGGCTGAGCAGCACACAGGGCTTCCAAAAACAAACTCATTTTGGTGCATTCGAACGTGCTCGAGTGCCCCCGTGTGGAGAAATGCTCAAACTGCGTCTGACTGCTGGTCTAGACCATGGCTGGCAGCTCTGCCTACTTCCTTCCTCTATTCCTCTCTGTAGGCTTCTAGAACCCTTGGTATTTTTTTTTTCTTTTTTTCTGTCGGAGGGGAGAGGCGATGGGCCCTCTCACCCCAAACACCAGCATCGCTATATGGGTTGGAACTTGGAGAGATTCACAGGAATTCTGGCACCTGCCTAGGGTATCAGCTGTCCCCTCCCACCATGAGACGGGGACCTCCCAACCAGTGGTGCTCCACGAGTCTCCCCAGCTTCCCTGTGGACAATGAGGGTTTTAAATATAGGGGAGGCAGCTACCCAGAAGGCCTGGCTGGCAGAGTCCGGTCCTCCCTGGTCCCAGCGGAGTGCCCTACAGAGCCCCCGGAGTAGCGGAAGCTGCTCTGCAGCCTGTGGTTGCTGTTGTAACCGCCTGCCATTCCTTCCAGCCTTTCTCTCCCAACTCTCGATGTAGAGGTTGGTTTTCTGTTTGTTTGGTTTTTTTTGGTTTGGTTTGGTTTGGTTTGGTTTTTTGTCGGTCTTCCTGTGCTCCACAGCTGTTGGACCCACTGTGAGTAAAAGGCTACTAAAGCCAATTAGAACCATTTCCCTTGATGAGGGAAATAAGAAAATGTTGAAGCCACAGTCCAGTCGCTGCGGGGGTCGTTTATTGGGAGGTCACTGAAAGTCTGGGGTGGGAGAGCTTTGCCCCCCATGCCTGCCGCCCAGACAACACACCGAATGATTGTAAGGACCTACAGCTAAGAAGGGCCAGACCCTGTTTTGTGAGTCTGGCTCACAAAACGTTCATGTGGAAGGCTGCTTGACTGGCCACTTGAAAGACAGGCCCTGCCTTTCAGGGGTTCACCTCCACTGCAGCCAAGAATCCTGACGTTATTACCTGTGGATGCCCCTTGTGTCTTGCTTATTCTACATGAAGGCCATATTTGCAGCATTACACAAGCAGTAACCACTCTGTACATACGGTTAACTTATGCAAAACATAGACATCACATAGGCTATCGTGTCCAATACTTTCTAGAGTTGTTAACCATTGTAAATTAGTGATAGATTTTTTAAAAGAACTATTTTTTACTGTTTGTAATTATGTGTTTCTGCATGAGTATGTCCACATGAGCGAGGTGACCTCAGAGACCAGAGGTGTCAGATCCCCCGGAACTGGACTTACAGGCCACTGTGAGCTGCCTGACATGGTGCTTGAATCTGAACTCAGGTCCTCTTGAAGAGTGTTATGTGTGGTTAGCAGGTGAGTCATGTCTCTAGCCCCAAAACGGAATCATTCATTTAATGGTGGATTCAGTAAGTTAATAGAAAAGGTGTATGTGTGTTCACATTCAATACCTACTTTCTCTGGTGAGTCTAAGCATTCAACTTAAAGTTTGGTCAACCTTTAAAACTTAGATTAAGTTATTCTGAAAATAAAAATTATTACCGTTCACACATACTGTAAAACAAAAATCTGTAAGGATTCAAACAATCTGGGAAAAAAATTAAAGTAGAATTTTCCATCTAGAGAGGCAAATCTGGAGCACGAATAGGAATAGGAGAAACGGAGAGGGGGGAGGGGGAGGCAGCAAAGAGGCAGAGCCTGGCCAGGCTGGCTTGGAAGAGACAGAGGTCAGGGAGCCGGGAAGAGCCGCATGTGTGCCAAGTATCCCTCAAAGCACTCTGGTGGAGGCACACAGCCAAGCGGAGCGCGTGGCCACAGTGAGCACAAAGCCCCCAGGACCATTCTGAGGGATGATTTTGACTGTGAAGCCATGAGCTCTCGGCGACACACCTGCAGGGCCAGTCTTCCCCTAAACCCGAGCTCACCGATTGCAGAGTACATTTAATGACTGTGGCACTGAATAATCCCCTGGGCAAGACTGAGCAGGTTCATACTGTACGGTGAGGGAGGCAGTGCGGATTTAGAGAACTGTTGCTTGTGACAGGTAGTTATTCAAGTCTGGCCTCTGGAAACCCCTCCCCAACAACGTAAAACATGAGACACTCTGAGGGAGAATAAAGCTGGGGCCTTCCAGCCAGATCTTAGTGTCTCGGAAGGGAACCTAAGCACCCTGGCTCAACTTGGCTTTGAATATCTTATTTACGAAATAAAAACTATAAGGCAGTTGAGATGCCTCAGCAGGTACACAGGTGTATTTGCCACTCCCACATCCCACACAGTAGGAGGGAACTGATTCTTGCAGGTTGTGCCACAGAACACACACACACACACACACACACACACACACACACACACACATCTAGAAAACTCTTAAATAACCAGGGGAAAGGTTGGGACAAACTTTTCTGCCTAGAGGGGCAAATGTGAGGCTTCAGCTGGACTGGAGCAAATGGAGGGAATGTGTGGAGCTTATCTGTGGCTGGTTCCGGTCAAGACTTGCACTCCTCACTACTGCATAAAACCAGTGCTGCCTTGCTCACTTCTCTATGCCTGTGACTGTGCCTGTGTACGCTGTTCCCAGCAACCAATTTATAAGCAAATAAGAGAAATCATGGAGTCTGGAGAATGGGACGGGGCATTTTTAAACTGACAACCAAGGAACATTGAAAAACTTTTACCCTTCCTGACTACTAATATTAGAGATACAAAATGGCCACCATAGCACAACCTGAAGAAAGATCTTTCCTGAAGCATTAGGCATCTGTATCTTTTAGATAATAGCACTTAACCTTCTATAAATGGGATTAATGAAACAAACATCTGGATATTCACCAAAAAATGGTGTTAAAACGTAAATGAGAAGCATGCTCTTAGCTCTGAATCATGCCCCTACTGACATGCTGTTTGTCTGGTTTTGCAAGATCACTACCAAGGATGGGCTGGGCTGCAGGCTCTGCACAGGTTTCAAACAGGGACTGCACAGCGCAGGCATATACACAGCCACACAAAGGAACTGGTAAACTCAGAATAAGCTTAAACGTAAAGTGGGATTTTATTTTCAACTATCCAACATATTTAAATATTAACATGTTTTTTTAAAAAAAACATTTATTTTAACTCAATAAAAACTTGCTATAAAATCAGTAAAGTTTACTATCTTCACTTTTTTTCTGCATTTTAGTAGTGCTTTCTTCAACTGCCCACTTTTGGAGAGGAGGGGTTTGTGGAGAAAGAAAGAAACCTCAACACAGTTGAACACACAGAACTCAAATTGTAAGTCATTTATTTCTGGCCTTGTGATTCATCTTTGAGTTAAGGCACCATTTCCATATTCAAACTCACGACAGTCTGGGATATTATTTAGCGAATATCCTCTCACCCACAAGAGTTTCAGGACTATGACCCTTGCCTGTTCCTCTGACTGTGTGACTGAATTTGACCAAAACATGAGCACAGCACGATGTAGGCAAACTCCTGGTGGACACCTATGTCACTGACTGACCTCTGAATGGTAAGGACGCATGCCTCCTGTTGGCTGCTGCCATTCGGAGCTGGACCTAATTCCTGGGCTGTGGCCATGCCATGCAGTTGGAAGCACAGAACAAGGAATCTAGCTTAGCCTAGTGTGGACCAGCAAACCCCAGTTCATTAGTATAAAATGAAGTCTTGGGTAACTTTGTATATAATCAGCTGCATTCATTCAGGAGTAATTTGTTACACAACATGCCGTGCTTGGTAGCTAACAAAACCAACAAACCAAAACCAAAAAACCAGGTCCGTGCATGGAAAGGCTATGCCTAGTAACACTGCATTTCAATTCTTTTCTCAGAAAGTACCTGAATGTCTATGTCCTGTTTGTGCTGTGTTGTGAAGTGGAGATGATGAACTAAACCAAATCTGCAGTCATGCAGACCAGCCAACACATCTCACATGCATCAGATAAATTCTATACATGAGCATACTTTCTCGGACTTCCCTATCAATGGAGAGATGCAGCATCCCCCACTGCTTACAGCTAGAACACTGCAGGACTTACCAAAGGATGACTTTATCAGGAGATGATTGCCAGAAACATCTGAGTTACAGGTGGGTTCTTTACAAAGTCTGACTTTTTATAGTGTGGTCATTAGACAGCATTTTCAACCCGCTGAGGATTGTGGGGAATTGCATCAGCCTCCATGGGGGACATGTTGGGAATGTAGATGTTATAGCTATGCTCATTCTAGACCCGTCCAAACAGGGAGTTGGGACTGGGAGATTGAGATCTGTACCAACACACCTCTCTTCGACTTCCTGGTGCTCCCTCAGGGGTGAAAACTGCTAGCCTCAGAAGAACACACCTGGGCCGTTCTCTACGTGGGGCCACGACATGCTGAGAGAGTTTGGAAGTTCTGCATTTCCAAGAAGAGACCCATACTTTTAGAAGATCCAGTAAGGATTCTCTTGCGGGGGGGAGAATTATATTTATTTAGTGTGTGTGTGCATGCCTGTGGAGGTCAGATGACAACTTGCAGGAGCTGGTGCTCTCCTCCCACTGTGTGGGTTCCATGGATTGAACTCAGCTCATTAGACCGGCCGGCAAGTGCCTTCAGTCACTGAACCATCTATCCAGCCCAGAGAGAGGAGCTTTTAGGAATCCACAAAAAGAGGAGACCCTTCCTCATTGACTTGGGGTTAGCTTCACAGCTCATTAAGAGTCATCCTAGAATGAAGAACATGTCTGGATGCTGTCTGTCCTTGAGTTGACCCGTTCTCTGGAGTGAAAGAGAAGATTCCATTTCTCTTGGTGCCTTTCTCAAGAGACATTTTGACATTGTGCTTTAAAAACAAAGAGCCTCTTCCATCCTGCCAAAATGCATACAATTTGGCAGAGAGCTCTGCAGAACTGAAAAGGCAGGTGGGATGAGGAGCCTCACTTTCAAAAACTGTTTCCATTAAGAAGCCCTCAGCACCTTTGCTTTGGCCTTGCTGCTTAGGTAGTGCAATAAAGAAAACCTGTCCTTAATTAAAAACCAATAAATGTAATAAACATGTTTAAGTTGAAAACCGACTTCTACGAAGTTAATTTTCCTGAACCTGCTCTTTTAAAGTCCATTAAAATGTTCACTATAAAATCCATGTTATTTATATTTTTCACCATCACTTAAGATCCACCCCCAAATTCCTCCGGCACATAGCTACAGGTTGTAAAATGGACTGGTGTCATCCGGGATAGCTCAGAATTGCAGCGCATTGTGTGGACAGAGGCGGTATCCAACACGCATATGTAAATACTCGTAGGCGTGAGCTAGTAGTGAAGCACAGTGTGTTGCCTGTGATCATGTCCTCCTGAGTAAAAGCAAAGGCTGTCAGCACACAGCCTGGCTCAAGCACACGTGGGTGTGTCTGAAAGGATTGACGGTGGCTTCTGTAATGAAAACAGATTCTATTAGGAACAATGAAACCAAAACGAAAGCTGCCCATTTCTTCTTTGTAATTCAATCCCTGTGGACTGCAACCCCATCCACTCCACTCCACCCGCTGCTCAACAGCTTCCTCCTCACAAAGGTTAAAACTGATTTGTCTGTACAGCTAATTGCATTTCAAATCACAGTAATTTGGAACGCCAAAAAGTAATTCCCCTTACAATGACTTATATTTATATTTTACTTGACAGGTAAACAGAAGTTGCCTGTTGGCTAAATAAATCCATTAGTCGTGTAAGCCTGCAGTCTGAACAGCTCTTTTCCTCACTTAGAGATGGCAGCAAGTGGATCTACTCTCCACTACAACAGGCTGAGGTGGGTCCCATTAGTTCGATGCCTCTTGATTTGAGTCCCTGACAGGCCCTATTACAGCCTTCACAGCATCCCACCCATAATCGCTACCATTACATCGCTTTATAACTGAACAATACTCAAATTGCATCATTTATACAGAGCCTTTTCCAGCTCTGTGGGGAAAGTTGGATAAATTAATGCTTGCAAGGACTTTGGAGGATTTCTCAGCCTTCTTGGGGTAAAAGCGGCAGCAGTTTGAAGGGCTCTGGTTCCATTCAGTTAAGTTCAACTCCAAATGATGTGGAAATAAGTGGTTGTGACATCAGAGGATGCTTGGTCTCCTATTAGAGACAGTCAAATCATTAAGCATCTTTCTTGAGCAGGCAATTTATCTCTGTAACATAAAATTATCAAATTCAAAATACACCGTCGGATAGAACACAGAGGTTATATCAGTATTCTAAGTCAAAGCACAAAAGTACCAACAAGCTGACTAGATAGACACACAACTTCTGATGGCCTGTTGACACAGCCCCAGACACCTGAATGACAGCAAGAGCTAGGCTAACATTCTAGCCACTTATCATCACACCTGGGCTGTATTAAGTCAGCAAATTAGAAAGTAACTCCAGGCCCCAAACTCAACAAGTCGCTCCTGACCTCCTGGGAAGGCAGCCTGCAGGGAGTTCTCCACGGAGTAAAACAGCCACTTAAGATGATGGCATTTGAGACGTGCGAAGCATCCCATGAAACAAGCCACACTCAGCCTTGGTTTTCATCCTGAATGAAAGTGGACTGATGCATTGTCTAAAATCAACTGACGTGGCTACCAGAGGAGGCTCAAGGAAGACACCCTACTCTTCTTCATCACATGCTGCCTTGATCACTTTTAAAATATCTTAAATGTGTTTGCAAGTGTGGTGGGTATTCTTGGATGTCAACTTCACCACATCTGGAATTAACTAAAACACAAGGAGCTGAGTACACCTGTGTGTGTGTGGGGGGGGTGTCTTAATTAAATCATTTAATACATTACATATAATGTATATAATAGAATATTATAATATATATCATATAATTATATTATATATTATATACTGTAGTATAATATATTATATATTACATTATATGTGTGTGTGTTCATTCTGTAGGTTCTATTTCTCTAGAGAACCATGGCTAGTACAGAATGCCAGTGTGTATGTGTGTGTGTATACGTGCGTGCATATGACCATGGCAGCCAGAATACAGTGCCAGACCCCTTAGAACTGAAGTTTCAAGGAGGTGTGAATCCTGTAATATGGATTCTGGGAAATGAACCAGGGTCTTCTAGAAGATCAGCAAGTGCTCTTAACTGCTGAGCTCACTCTCTAGCCCATTATTCTCAGTTTTTGAGATAACTATACTCATCACCATGCTCAGCATCCTCCAAAGAAGGAGGTTAGAGAAGCCTTTGGCTGCCCTCTCCCAATCACAGATCCTTCAGATTCTGGTTCATTAGAATGTCCTCCTTCTGGTCTCGGTCAGACCTATGTTCCCATAATGGCCATGTTCTAGAAAGATCACACCTATGGCTCATCAGCCCTAGATTCGCAATATACAGTATGCTCTGGGAAGCTGTGGGGACAGCAATGTGTCATTGGATGGCTACTTTGAAGCAAACCAAACCTTTCTGTTTTGCTTTTCAAAATCAATGGTGTGAAAATGTTCCTGTGAACACAGCTCACACAGTTATCTCTCAATACTGGCAGCTACCCATCGGCCACCTGTATGCTTTCTTGTCTGTCCACTAAGCAAAATGTCTATTCTTGAGTTAAGGTATATTCCCGTCTTACACAAGAGAACTCATTTCCTAGGCAGATTTTATAAATAGTTTTTCTTTCCTGGTAAAACAGGGGGTAGTTTCTTTCTCATACACCCTACTCATTCTATCATCTGCTCCTGTCTTTCTGTCTCTGAGCATGTCTGTGTGAGGGTGTGCTTCTCAGAGCACTGCAGCCATGCAAACCTCAGGCTCCAAGTTGCTGACCTAAAGCCAGGGCATTCTCCATCCAGCACAGAGGATCTGGATCTGACACTCTGGATTAGGCACCATCGCTTGAGCTTCTGGCTCATTGCAGGCTTGGTTCAGGCCTGGACTTTCTCATTCAGACCATGAGGATGGTAAGAGTGGAGGGTCCTAGCATTGTCATCCACTTGAGATCTTCAGATCTCACATAAGGGAAGGGGCAAAAGTGAAGACTTACTGAACCTTCCAGAAAATATGATGGTCACATGTAATCTTCCAAGACAAATCACTAGCCTTTTCCCCTGAATTTAGGTTGTCAATATCCTTAATTCTGGGGAAAATGCCTCTTATTTGAGGACTTTCTCTTGGTTTGGGTAAATTTCCTCAACTGCAGTATATGGAAGAAAATGCCTTTTAGTGATGAAAAGCCTCTTGCATATTCTCAGGGACAGGGACAAGGCTTGGGGATTTGCCAGCACAGGGCTGATGAAGCACAGAGGAGCGCCAATCCTGGACAGGCCGGAGGGCAGAGGGAGGGCCAAATGACTGAGAAGAACACCATGGCCTTAACAACTCCTCTGTATTCATGGGGGATAACAACTCCCGGAAGATTTGTGCAGTGGTTGGCAGTTAACACAGGAACTCACAACCAGTCAGTGTCTAGAGAGTAATCTATAGAATACTCTACAGAGTGCTCAGCGACAAATGGGACATATGTACCAGTCCCCTTCCCCCAAAGGCTCACAGAGGAAGAAGGAGTGAAAAGAGTGTATGAGCCGGAGTTCTGGGAGGGCCTGAGTAAACCGTGCCTTCCAGACATGACAGGCGCTCTGCAATCATGAGCTCACATGGCTTTTGTCTGCATGAGACCTGCATGAGGCTAAGCCAACATCCTAGCATGGAGGACGGAGGAATTCAGATGCCCCCACCTCTGATTTAGGAGCTCTCAACAGTTGGTGGTGTTTTTTGCAGGTAGGGGTCACTTTTCTCTAATGCTATGCCCCCTGGTGGGCCGACCGTCATATCAGTTACCCCTCTGTTGCCGAGATAAAACACCACGACTAGAAGTAATTTAAGGAAGGAGGAGTTTAGTGGGGTTGGTCCAGAGTGTTAGGCATCCATCACGGAGGAGAGGCCTGGCAAAAAAGAGTCATGTTTGGCAGCAGGAACAAGAGGCTGAGAGCTCATATCTTGAACAAAAGAATGAAGTAGAGAAAGCACAATAGAAGTACGTGGTTTTAACTCTCAAAGCCCATTCTCAGCGACTTACTTTCTTCAGTGGCTGCACCACCTAAAATTCCCCAAACAGCACAATCAACTGGAGATCATGTGCTCAAAGGCTCAAGACTATACAGGACATTTCTTATTTAAACCACTACAACCAAGCTCTAGTGTGGCAGTTCTCGACCTGTGGGCTGAGACCCCTCTGGGTCAAATGATCCTTGTCACATGGGTCACCTAAGATCACCTGCATATCAGATATATTGTGATTCATAACAGTAGCAAAATTACATGTACAATGTAGCAACAAAAATAATTTTATGTTAGGGGTTCATCACAACATGAGGAATTGTATTCAGGGGTCACGGCATTAGGAAAGTTGAGAACCACTGCTTTAGTCAATGGCTCTGTATCCAGACGTATTATATGGGAAGCAGAAATTGGAATCAGTGGGTTCTATGAAAATAGAGGACAGGGAGTTAGGATCATAAGACGTAGTGGGTGGCTCTGGAGGAGTTAGGGTAGGCATTTGAGGTATCTAGGGTGAATATTATCAAAATACACTGGATATAAGAATGGACTTCTATAAACAGTTAATAAAATATATGTAAAAAGTAAAACTCTTACATTTATCAGCACCCCGGGCTTTTCAGACATGTAAGTTCTGTGCCCCAAAGAGGCTTATATGATGTAAACCTTGAC